AAGATAAATGTAGCTTTTAAATTTAAAAAAATATAATTTAATGAATAAAAAAAAAATAATATAAAACAATCTCGAAACAAAGTGATCCCTCGGAAGCATTAATCGCACCAAAATTACAAGAAAATTACAGACCCAGTTTGATTGAGTCTGTACATGATGGATAATGAATACGTGCAACACCCCCAAGCCACACTTTTGAGAACACTAAAAAGTTTAAAATCTCTCCTTAAAATAAAGCTATGAAGGGACTGCACATGCATCCGTGTGGCACACCTATTGTAACAAATTTTTTTTAAGTTTTTGTCTAATAGCAGAATAAACAAGACAGTACCAAGAGTAGCAGTTACACCGACTTTCTTGATATTCTTCTGACAGCACGCGATGAAGACGGACAGGGTCTTACAAAACTAGAGATACGGAATGAAGTGGATACTTTCTTGTTCGAAGGTGACCTTTATAAGGAAAAGATGATTGTTTTTTATGTTACAAAATAAAAACATCATATTTTTCTGCTATTAGATTTGAATCAAGATAAGTATAAAATGATTATAAGTTATCAAGGACTGGCTTTATTTAATTGACTTTTACACTTTTGCTGCTAATAGCCACATAATATTATAAACCACAAATTACTTGATATTGTGGTCCATACATTCTTGTTATATGTTTCCGTTACATAAACATTTATATAAATTATGATAACTTATGATAAATTGTTTTTTAGGTCACGACACAACAGCCAGTGCCTTATCATGGATCTTGTATTCTTTGGCAGAGAACCCTGAATGTCAACAAAAATGTCAGACTGAGATAGATGAGATACTTGCAGGCAGGGAAACAGATGACCTGGAGTGGTATAAAAATTGTTCCCTTTATCGTGACATTATTTTTAATTTGTGACTTCTTACATCGTGCTGGATGGAATGTTTCTTTTAAAAAAGTTTCCCTTAAAATTATCGATGAATGTTTTTCATGGAATGTAGACGAATATTTCTTAAAAGCATATATTTTCTAAAGAACCTGTTCAAAATTATGGCATTAATGAGAGACACGTGTTACAGTCTGATCAGGATCCATGCTGTTCGCTATCAGTTTCTCTACTTGTAATAGAGTTGGTAAGCGAACAGCATGGATCCTGATCAGACCGCGCAGATGCGCAGGCTGGTCTGGACCCATGCTGGTCGCAAAACCATTATGTTGGTTTTGTCGTGACGCGGCACATTTTATTGCGTTGGTATCTCCAAAAATACTTAAGGGAATGAATTCAAACAGTTATTTGAGGGAATAAAATTTAATGTCACCCAAAGTCCAATAAGATGGATTTTTGAAATAGTAAAAAATATAATTATATAATTATAGGTCTGACTTAAGTCACTTAGAATATCTTACAATGTGCATAAAAGAAGGAATGCGCCTACATGCTCCAGTGCCGGGTATAACACGAGACATCACTCAAGACTTTGAACTAGACGACAGAGTTGCTCCTAAAGGAACACAAGTCATTGTTAATATTTGGATATTAAACCACATGGAAAAAATTTGGGGTCCTGATCACATGAAGTTTAAACCAGAACGATTTTCGAAGGAAAGAATTGACCAAATTGAACACTTCCAGTATGTGCCATTCTCTGCAGGACCAAGGTGGGTTTTATAGATGTAAATAGAACGGAAAAAAGAATATATTGAAATTATTTACATATAAACATGTGTGGATGTTAAACGTATAACTTTTACCTACGATAACGGAAGTAAAACTATGATATTGCCAACGTCATATGTACATTTTTTAATTGTCATATATGATTAAATAAAAACACTTTTTTGAGAAATGAGCACCTGATGAAAATATTTAAAATGTTTTCGATGGTCTTTTGAACACGTAATTTGTTCCTGCTCTAAAATTAAAAAAAATGATGAGATTTTTTAAGTTCCGAATTCTTATGCACTAACATAACTGTAAAATGTATTCTCATATTTACTTTATGATATTATATTTTTATACCCCCGCACAACAAAGTTGTAAGGGGGGTATACTGGAATCAGCTTGTCCGTCCGTCCGTCCGTCTGTCCGTCCGTCCGGCCGTCCGTCGGTTTTTTCTTGTCCGCCCAATAACTTAAGATTCCTTTGACCCTTAGTCTTCATATTTGGCATGGAGGTTAGTCATGATTAGTAGATGACCCCCTTTTGATTTTGAGGTCACTAAGTCCAAGGTCAAGGTCACAGGGGCCTTGACTTCAAAAAGCTTGTCCGTCCAATAACTTAAGATTCCTTTGACCCACAGTCTTCATATTTGGCATGGAGGTTAGTCATGATTAGTAGATGACCCCTTTTGATTTTGAGGTCACTGGATCAAAGGTCAAGGTCATAGGGACTTTGACTTCAAAAAGTTTTTCCACCCATTAACTTAAGATTCTTTTGACCCACAGTCTTCATATTTGGCATGGATGTTGATCATGACTATAAGGTGACCCCTATTGATTTTGAGGTCACTGGGTCAAAGGTCAAGGTCACAGGGACCTTGACAAAAAAAAGCTTTTCTTGTCAATTGCTAAAGAATGTCCTGTCCGCAATGTATTGATTTTCATATTTGAAGCATGTAGAATACATAACTTAGCAATGCACTGGCTTAGTAACCTCAGATTTGGCAGGGAGGTTGTCCTTGAGCTCTAAATGGCCACTGTTGATTCTGACAAAGTGGTATGCGGGGGTACTCACGCCATGACAGTGGCAGTTCTAGTTTATTCAAGATCAAGGATTTGGGGTCTCTGTGGGCGGTCGTTTAAGTTAGCTGAACTTGAATCCCTGTATGATAATTTTTTACTGGGTACTTTTTGATTCTTTACTTTAGCTAATGTGGTTTTTACTCGGGTACCCACTCGTGTCAGAAATACTGATGTCTGCAGTCAAAAAAAAAAGCATGAACTTTATAAGGTTATTGTGACTATATTAAGTAAGAAAGAAATAGTTTGTTCTATTTACTTTTTTAAACAAAGCATTGCCTTTTGATTGAATTTTTTAGAAACTGTATCGGACAAATATTTGCAATGAATGAAGAAAAGGTAGTCCTTACAAAGCTACTTAGAAAGTAAGTTAATTTCCTTAATATGTCGTTTAAATAGGAAACAGTATCAAATATTTGCTTCATTATACATAAAAGAACACGTATTTACTAGAGAATTTTTTCATTTTAATATCTATACTTAATATTCTTGTAAGAAGAAAACATTCAAGAACAATAATAGTTGAACCTTGCAATGTTTTGAGTGCAACATCTCTCACACCTATTGAATGCCTCGGTTGCATTCATTGATCGCCGCCCTTCCTTGTTGATCTTTTGTTGTTGTTGTTGTTTTTTCCGTATTTTAAGCAGTACCAAATTCTCAACAATGAAAATGTTCGTTGATATGATCCTGATAGACAGGAAACAATATAACAACACTGTTAAGTTCGCGGCGATCACGACACATTTCTGCTGTTGTTAAGACTACTGGGTCTATTTTTTTAAAAATATGTTTAATTTAAAATGATGATGTTGAAATGTTTTGAAATTTTACATTTCAGTTTTACATTTCGTCTTGACCCATCACATACAGTAAAACGTAAAATATCGACTGTCATGAGAACACAAAATGGAATGTACATGTTTGTTGAGAAACGAAGACCAACTATTTATTGAATTTTAGACAAAGTCTTGTTTTGTATCGAGGAGATATATGAAAGGCATCTCTGACCTGAAATGTACGGTGTATATAAAACTGTAGCTTACAAAGAATGTAGTGTATAATGGTGATAATAATGGTGATAATAATTTATATATATTTAGAATATGCAATACTTATTTATTTTATGTTCATTTTTAAAGCACTTTTTTATGATTAAAACAGCCAGACAACAAAATTATACATGTTTATGAATATCCAGAAAGCGTTAATTATATAATATATTTCACAGAGTAAACAAAATAATTAGTATTTACATGAGTGGTGTTACAGTTGGTGTTTACAAGTGGAATGAAATTAAATTAAATTTTATGCAAAACAACAATTTTTCATCATTTCAAGCTTTTACAGCATGGTTTACGTTTAGAGGTCATCGCTATTGATAGCTTGGATAGTATATATGTACTATAACATAAGTAAAAAATAAGTGGGCGTGTTCATGTTCATATATAATGTCCAAGCCACGACCGACTGACGGCATTACCAAAACAGCTCCAATGCAAAAATCGGCTTATGGACGTTTCGGACCTTTTCTGCAAGACACTTTGGCCCTTTTATATCATAATATAAGGTGTTTTTTCTTAGTTTATAAAATGAAAATTTAACATTTTCATATTTGAAATTAAAAAAAAAAACAGACAAGAATGCAATGAATTAAAGCGGCATTAGGCCTATCCAAGGGTTATAAGGTAAGTGACCAAGTCACAATCAAAATAAGTTTAAATTTTGTCATAATTCCTCACAATTCTAAAATTTCTTTCGTATATATGATAAATAACTCACGTAACCCGAGGAAATTTATAAAATACACGATCTTTGATTTCTATCTGTTCGATTACTTTATTGTATATTGTTAAATTCGTTTCTATCAGCAATTACACATGATATACACTATGTTTATGTTATATGCCATTAAGTATTGAATATAGTTTTTTCGTGTCATTATCTACCGGGGAGGGCCGACCGCTAATGTTGTAAGAACTTGGGCCCAACCCGTTTGCCTTTGCTGTTTAGAATACATATTAAATTTGTATCTGTATTGTTTATACATGCATGTATATAGCAATAAAATATGATTAAACCGATTTTGACACCAATTTTTGGATATGGTTACTTTAAATTTTGTAGATGTGTACTTGACAATGCTACGTGCAATTAAGCTCTTGTTATTGCAGTCTGATATAAAGAAGTCCTATATAGCTTAGTATGTAAGCTAGGTGACTCCTTTTGCGGGGTCAATTTTGAAAATTCTGAGAATAATTCATCTTCCAAGTCATTTTATTTCTTGTGGCCTACTTATATGCTTTAGACTGGTTCCATTTATATAACCTTTGTACATGACTACCTAAGGATAATACCTGTGAAGTTTGGTTAAAATTCATCATGCATGATGGTCGATTTTAGCGTGTACATGACAGAGCAGTCATTGGAAGAATGTTTGTATATTGATAATTTCTGTAAACGTCTCAGACAGAGAGGATGACTTCTAATATGTTTGTCAGAGCGAATTCTCGCAGCCGTACCTCGCTTTTGCATACTTAATAGTATATTGTTACCATAGTTCATGGATTTAGTTACCCAGGTCAAAGACCCGAATTTATAATACTGAAAAATGTCTTCCGCAACTTAACATTTGCTTCACACACAGCTAATTTGATGCTTAAAAATGGTCAGATACGATTCCCAAATGTATATATGAAGATCCTGCCGGGATAAACTCCACACCAAGAAAATATTCACTTATTTCATTTACATAAATATCATTGTATGAAACAAAACAACACCTTGTTGATAGATGCCGCTATTAAAGCAGAATAATGCCAATCATACCTTGGAGACGATATACGGGATCGGCTAAATCTGGGACAGGAAATGTCGTGCTCATAACAGGGTTTCCCTTATTTGCCAGTTCAAGCTGATACTCTGATGTATGTCAGTTTTCCCTGATATATTTAATGAAAACTGTACAGAATAAAATGCTCCGGAACAAAATATTATGCTGCTATTACAAGTATTTTTAGTCCCCTACCGGTTTAACCGGATGGGACATTAGGTTACCCTCCGTCCGTCTGTCCGTCTGTCTGTCAGTCCGTCCTTGAAATATGGGTAGATGGCAGTCTTGAGATTATGCACATTTTTTTTTCTTCCAATATTGAAAATTCTGGTTGCTATGGCAACAAATAGCCTGAATTTCAAGATTTCTGATTTAAATTTTTCAACTTTTTCACTATAAGTTCTTTATTTCTTAAGGTGTTTACTTTAAACTTTAAATATACGTTTTTGGTCATCAATCACATCATATGTGACAAGGTTTACAACTCTAGCACAAAAATATCAGTATTGCCTTCCTTGAACTTAGATTTTTTTTAAAAAAGACCATCTTTTTTAAATAACTTCTTTATTTCCTAATGTATCTACGTCAAACTTCGTATATATATTTTTCCTATTATCACTCAACATTTTTGAGAAGGTTTAACATGTTTAATACTCTAGCAAGACTATTTCCAGAATTATGTCCCCCTTGAACTTAGATTTTTGTCGAGAAATTGGTATTTTTTACTCCAACTACTTCATTCCATATAGGATTTACTTTAAAATATCTCATCGTAATAATATGACAAGGTTGTATAAACATAATTTCCTTATTATGCAGGGAAACTTAAAACATTACTATGATATAGACAAACTCAGAACTCAGAAGATTTGAGTTCATTCATGTCATTCATTCACTGGTAAAAAAATTGAATGGCCAATGGCCCATCAGAATGTTGCTGGGGTTCTAACCGGTAGGGGACTTATGGATTGCTTGCTATACTATGATAATTGCTTGTTAACCTTGTAATAATGACTTCGTGCATTTGTCTTTAACGTTAAAGAATTATACTAACACATTTCTGCCATGCATGAATTTGGAAGTATTACTTGATTGAAATGCCTTATTTGAAATGAGCGTGTCCTGCTTTGAATTTAGAATAGTCCATTACAAAAGTTTAAGGCATTTCAATCACGATCAAAATACAAATTCTAACACGACCCGCATTTTTCCCTATTGAACATAGAAGAACAGAAAGTGCGTGTAATTATGCAACAGATGCACAGTTTGACGTTCTATATTTAGACATGTGACGTAATCATTATACACGCGACGTAACCACTAAAAATCCGACGCGCTGAAAATAAGTACGGAAACAAATCAGGCGCAATTTTGCTTAGTTATCAAGTACGGCAACATTTATTTGTTGATGTCGTGTTAGATTCGAAATAATATATCCAAATTAGTGATTTTATCGCTTGATAACATCACTTTTTTTCTTCGTTCGGATGCGCATCATAATATCCCTCGGGCTACGCCCTCGTGATATAATTCCTCGCATCCGAACTCCAAACAGTGATGTTATTGAGCGATAAAATCACTGTTTGGGATATATTATTTCTTAAATAAAAATGTGCAAACAACAGTACAGATCCTGGTCAGATTGCATGGATGTTCCGGTGAAATACATGTAATAAATTTTGACCCTTTAAAATGTCATTTTCAATGTTGAGAACTGAACCGGGGCCATTTTTTGACGCTGAGAATTGGCCCTGCCCACAATTCAACATTAAGTCGTTGAGAAATAATCAATCGTTATATTTTGATCAAATTAGGGTCATTTTATAACGGTTAGTTAAATTTTAGTTAAACATCTTTTTGTAATACAAAAATATATTATGTACTGTATACCCAGTAATAAATAATATCTAATCACGGGAAGTAACCGTTGCCCTCGCAGCGGTTATTCCCCTTGATCATTACAGAAATGTTGAACGGCTGTATAATTCATCCCTTAAGTACCATATAGCTGTCCATTATCAGTTATTGCCAAATTGTAATTAGCTCCTGGCCCTCTTGATTAAAATGATTAAATATTTATCACTTAAAATCTAGGAATAGAGAAATATTACTGTTTCATGTATATGACCATATATAGGCATGTATTATTTTTCGATCACTAGTTGGGCATTTTTTTTCATGGTGGGTAGTCATTAAAATGGGAAGGCATCAATTTTCAACGCAGTCAAAATTAAGTGTTACACAGACAGGCTTCCTGGCTGTATGTAGTGGATTACCACTTTCAGTTCCAAAAGAATAAAGGCTTAAACCTTTTCTGGAATGTAATCCAGGTTAAATTAATGTAGACTTGGCCTCTTAATGACCTTCAAACAATGAACAACCCACAATAAATTTTGTTTGCCCTATAGCATACACAGCTACTCTTGACAACTAGGGCATTTTATTAAACAAGACATTCCATACATGATACAACAATTTTATTTCAAAATTGAATACTCTTGCATCAGAAGTAGTTAAGTGATATAAAGATTTTCAAACCCATTTCAGATCAAAAAGCGTTTTATTTAATAATTTCAAGTTAAACAATTTTATATCCCAATTAAGACATATCAACCCAGTTAAATGTAATAAATTTTGCTCCCGTATCTATCTTCCACATGCATTGCTTATGATGAGTTTGTACAACCATTCTTATCTAAAGGACTTTAGATTTCTAACCATTATATAATATATATGTAGCTACAAGATAACAGTGATCAAGGAGTTGGTAAAATGACAGGGACATAGTTATAAATGTCAAAATCTTGTATCAAAGTCTCCATAAAATAATAGCATTAATACAGTGACTTTATTCTGGTTCAGTTAACTGGCCAAAGATATTTGTATTGGCCATAAGACAGTCATCAATATGAATGTCTGAGGACAAATAATAAAGTCAATAAGAAATAACCAATGTCAATTTTATTTACTTTAAACACTTTTTGTACATTTTCAAACTAAATTTTCTAGTTTTATATGTGATTAATGTATGCTAATGACAGGAATTACAACACAACCTCCGAAGAACAATCACCTCTTTACAACCGTATCATTTCTTTCCTAAAGTAAAACTTCACAATATTTAATATCTGTAGAGCAGCAACCAAAATTTATGTCTCCAAAAGGGTGGTTGTCATATAGAGGCTGTTATGTACCGGTACTTACAATTTATATATACAAAACATCCTATACACCTGACAAGAATGCTATATTATCATGAGTTCATACCCATTCAATTTTGTAATCAATTATTCTGATAAAACATTTCTGGGAAGTACAGGTATCAACATCAAAAATAAACAAAAGCAATCAGTGATCACATGTGTCACCTGCTGAGAACCAATTATGCATATTTATGAAAGGTGATAATGGAAAGTTTGTTACCTAAATGTCATTAACATTTCCCAAAACACTTTTATTATGCAAGGGCCATAACTCAGCCAGCCATAAATCATTCAACAAGAAAACCTATTAAGTATGCAAGTACTTGAGGTACCATTCAATCCTATAAAGTTTCAATCAAACTGCATCAGTAGAATATGAGAAGTAGCCCGGACAAATCTTTAAAAAGTAAAAATAATTAAAGGGCCATAACTCTGACAAAAATGAATGAACTGAAAATCTTTATGATATGTACAACTTAACTTGGCCGTAAAGCTAAGTTGAAATTGCACTAATTGTTTTCGAGTAGTAGTCCAGACAAGTTTTGTGACAGACGACGGAGAAGTGATCCCTATATGTCACCTTTACTCTGTATTAGATGACACAAAAACATATTTATATTTCAAATAAACTGAATAATTAGAATTCTATGAAAATAAATAAAAGTCAAACAAACAATCAACACAAGTTTTTAGGTTTTATTTCATGATGATAACTGACGTTTCGACTCTCACATTAAATATAAGCCTGGTTTCAAAACAAATCAAAATGCTTCATTTTTGTATTGTTCCCTTTACTAATTTAGGAAGCCAAGAAGTCAATATTATAATGAATGTTTCATTTATAGTGTTTCATAGTTGATGGTCAGTACCAATCATAATTAATGTCTATATGGGCTCTATTATTACTTTTTTTGGCACACTATACATTAGGAACAACAAGCTTTATTTCCCAGACAGCTACCATACTTAATGTCACAG